CTATTAGCAGTAACCTACTTATTCTAAGATCACCTTATACAGCATCGTGATGATTTGTCTCATCCTTCAATCAAAGTAATATTTGTGACTCACTCTTTAAGTTGCTTTAAGTGTACGATCAGCAATTATATATTTATGATATAACATACAATTAATGTACGTCAAATCGTTGCAGAATAGTTCTCTATTATCAATATCCAACAATTCTGTCTCAATAAATGATGGAAAACTCCAACTGCATGATCCAGCAAAAAGTAACTATATGGTGTGTATTCCAAGCAAAGGCATTTAGTCTCCATACAACAAGATGACACAAATACTCCGCCAATTTTTTAACTTGCATGTTATCTGTTATCATCCGATCAAATGTTATTGAGCGGCGAGTATTAGTATTGGTGTCTTGATGTCCTGATCCGTTTTTACTTTTCGTTGAACACCGCCATATTGAGTTAATAAAAATATGCGCAGGAGGATTCTGTTTTGTAGAAAAATAAATTTAAATAGCTATTTAATTGTCTTTCTTTTGATTTTAGAACTTCTTCCCGGACAGCATTTAAAGGATGCAGGAATAATGTTAACTTGCAAGTACTTATCGGGTGTGTTATTGAGTGTGTTATTCGGATGCATTTCACTATAATCTAATTTATTTTTATTTGTTGCAGTCTTTGCAGAAACGATGATCCACGGAAGCTCATCTGCAAGGTGGTCGACCGCCGTCTTGGCTCCTTGTCCGAATTACTTCACTCCATCCCAGGAATTTACTGCTTTATGGGGAACCAAAAAACTGCCAAAACCTGCCTCCTTCTGGCGCAACAGATCGTTTGGACCAGTCAAGCGCTGGCTACGCTTTCGGCACACTTAGTTGGATTTGGATCAGTTGGGGGTCGTTCAGAACGATCTTGCGCTGATCATACGGCCGTTGCTGCAGCTGAAAATAGTGCTCGATAAGATCGGTTCGATTCAGGTAGAATGTGGTCAGACGTGAAGAAGATCGATTTGAACTATGTGGCCCTGAGCCCGAGCTGAAGGCAGCCACAAAGAGGAGCTTGTTTTTTTTATTTACGGCTTTTACTGAACGATATCCTCTTGGAGCCGTAAACTATAGGCAAGCCTGCCGGATACTTTTGTAAGTAAATAAGTAACTAAATTCATCCGGCTACCGATAAGTGCATGCAATATTAATCAATAAAACGGTTTAAAACTATATATCATGTGCTTTATTTTCGAAGAAAAAATTTGAAAACACAGTCGTCATGTTAAAATTCAATAACGATAAGCAATACAGTATGGCGACCAGTTCCGTTTGGACGTTAAATTATTAGTAAACGATAAAACATACCGTTTTTCAAGCTAAATATGAACTACAGATAAACCATCTGGGATGTAATATCGCTGAAAATTTGTTCGGGTAATTCATTGTTTTTGTATAGTAATTATACTTAACCACCCTTTCAGCGTATGGTAGTTTTACCAATTACCATATATGGAATAATCAAAACGATTTATGACAATGTAAGTTCATGGTTTTTTGTACGATCGCAGAAATCGTACGTTTATTGTTGTTAATTGTTCAGAATAATACGAGAAATCCTCCTTGTATGGTTCATGATTATGCGGGTTGAATCTTGGCGTTGAGCTTCGTGTTTGCAGTGATGGGTATTTTTGGAACGGACAGAACTGAAAGCTGCCGAAAATCGATGTTTGGAATCCAAGATGGCGGCGTCCGGTTTAAAAAAAAAGTGGGAAATACTGCCAAATACCCTTCAATATGTATATTTTCGGAATCGGGATGACGTCAAGAGACCGAAAATCGATGTCCAGCGCCATCTGGAAATCAAAGATGGCGGCTGCCGATTTCAGAAAAAAAGTGGGAAATACTGCCAAATACCCTTCAATATGTATATTTTTGGAATCGGGATGACCTCTAGAGAGCAAATATCGATATGCAGCGCCATCTTGAAATCCAAGATGGCGGCTTCCAATCTCAGAAAAAGTGGGAAATACTACCAAATACCCTTCAATATGTATATTTTTGGAATTGGTATGACGTTTCGAGACCAAAAGTCGATATCCATCTTGAAATCCAAGCCGCAAATGAAATCAAAGATGGTGGCTGCCGATTTCAGAAAAAGTGGGAAAAACTGTAAAATACTTTACAATATGGATATTTTCGGCTCAAAGACGACATGCAGATGCCGAAAATTGGAATGCCGAAATGGCGTCAGCCATCAATTTTCCGTCTATTGAAGGGTGTTTGACAGTCGGACATCGATTTTTAGCCTCTACATATCGTCCCCATTCAAAATATACCCATGTTGTGGGGGTATTTAACATTACTATCCAGTTTATCTGCAACCAAAAGCTGCCATCTTGGAATTCAATATGAAATCGGACAGTAATTGCTAATCCGTAGTTACCACCGCGAATCCCAAAATACCCACATTCATGTGTATTTGACAGTATTTCCAACTTTTCCTGTATCCTGTAGCTGCCATTTTGGATTTCAGGTCACTCATCTTCTATTTCTAGATGTAATTATCTAGACGTCATTCCTTTTCCAAAAATACTCATATTGTCAGTTATTTGACTGTATTTATATCTTTTTCTGAAACCGGAAGCCGCTATCCTGGATTTCAAAATGGTATCAGACATTAATATTCGGCATCTACATGTCATCTAAAAAATCTATATTATTGGGTATTTGACAGTTTTTCTAAAGTCAATGGCCGCCATTAAAAAATGGCGTTGGACATAAATTGTAGTTTTGTTCCGATTTTGATACCCATGATGTAGGGTATTTGGCAGTTTTTCCGAATCTGAGAGCCACTATCTTGGATTTCAAAATGGTATTGGACATCGATTTTCGGCATCATACACGCGTCCTGTACCGAAAATATCCATATCGTAGAATTTGACAGCTTTTCAGAAAACAACGGCCGCCATCTTGGATTCCAAAATGGTGTCAGACATCATTTAAGGATGTACACGTCGACCCAGTTCCGAAACTATCCATATTATAGGGTATTTGACAGTTTTTTTCTGAAGTCACTTGCCACCATCTTGGATTTAAAACTGGCGTCAGACCTCGATTTTCGGGATGTACGCGTAGAACTTGTTGGACATGTTGGATTAAACAATGGCGTCGGACATCGATTTTCGGTCTCAAGACGTCATCCCGATTCCGGAAATACCCATATTGAAGGGTATTTAGCAGTATTTCCAACTTTTTCTGAAATTGGCAGCCGCCATCTTGGATTTCATCATGGCGCTGTCTCGAGACGTCGTCTTGATTCCAAAAATATACATATTCAAGTGTATTTGGCAGTATTTCCCACTTTTCTGATATTAGAAGCCGCCATTTTGGATTTCAAGATGGCGCTGGATATCGATATTTGGTCTCGAGACGTCATCCCGATTCCAAAAATATACATATTGAAGGGTATTTGGCAGTATTTCCTACTTTTTTTCTGAAATAGGAAATACCAATATTGAAGGAAATTTACATTATTTCCGGCCTTGTTTTAAATCTAACCTCCGTTTTAGAATGGATGGTTTATTGTCGTGATCCTCCTTTTTAAACAACCTGTATAGACTTTGTCTCAGAGAACAGAATGAGTGACATATGACTAGAATAGATAGTCGCGACTGGATGGATTCTTGATTTTGTCGTGGTGATCTTGTCGTGCGACAAGAAATTGTTGTTTGACGAGAATTTTCCAGGATGACCATTTTTTTAATGTATCTTGTCGTGCGTCAATGACAAACGCGACAATTCCCATATCTGCACAGAACAACACGCACATAATACAGATAGTGGCCAATAAATGCAATGAAAGAAGTAGTTGGTGAGTGCTGAGTTCTTACATCTGTTATACAATGTAAGTGTATTGCACACTGAATCACACTACTGATCAAAACAAATGCATTTGAAGTGTTTCTCATTTCAATGCGATGTGAATTGCTAGTTCTGCAAGGTAAACATCGAAAACATGAGTTGTGAATTCATCCTTATCAACTAGTCTCATATATGAGAACAACCGTGGTCCAGTGAAATCGAACAAAGTCAACGGCAGCAGCAGCACACCTCAACAGTCCAGGATCAAATCTCGAATCAGACCCATTAAAAAAAGGCGTGTAAGTCCTGCCCTCTGGCAGCTTTGTTTATGTATTTGTCGATTCAATTTTGGAATCGGTAAAGTAGAAGTCAATAAAGTAGAATATTGTAGAAAATTGAACTATAATGTGCAAAGCTATTGATATCAACATGTGAGGCACATAGACTCCAAGTGTGTCACAATTCGAACCAATAGTGTTGAGGCTTGGTTCAAAGCATAAGATACACACATGAAATGGATGTGTTTCACAAAATGTGCAAAATTAAGTGTGAGACACATGATGATGACGTGTGGAATTTTTTGAGTGTACGTAAACTAACACCATCTTTGGGTTGAGGAAAATTTCCCCTATCCGATGATGCCGGTAATTTGCGTTCGATTGGCGAGGAAAGAATAATCAACGTTTTGTTTATAAAAGTAAAGTGCCTTTTCACTTGTTGGTCTTCGATACATGGAATTGGTTCCGCTTTTTGATAGATCGAAATTCTATCCGCCAGACTATGAATATAGCGACTAAAACACCTCACGTCCGACCTAAGCAGCGAAGCCCCCTCTGTACGCATCTGTCATCAGCGTTGTTAATAGCAACAGCGTTGTCAATAGCAACAGCAGTATGTAAAAACCGTAGACGAGAAAAGCACACGTTAAATAAAGAACTTTTTCATTTTCGCTTTGTAAAACGGCAGTTCATGTTTTATTCCGACAAGTTCGAACCATTTAATTTAATGAGTACAGTCAGTTTTACGCATTTCATGAGGTAAGTCACTTTTCTTTAAATTGGGTAAAATTTTACTCATAAATGGGTACTTTCAAGCGTGTTGGTCATATTGGTTATCAATTCACTTCAAGTGCAGCTATCAAGATTCCAACCGATGACGTACTAACCTGCCGAGAGAGCATTCGATTGCGGTTTGTTCTTCTGCGTCATTTCGAACCAAGCTCCACAGCTTCCCATGATGGCGGTGATGGAATTTCCTTTCGTCAATCGTGTTGTAACTGTGCAATCGTGTAGCTTCCGGTTTCGCTCTAGTTGCGATAATCAATTAAATGAAAGAGCGTTGCTTGAGATTTCAATAAACGTTTCTTGGTCGATGCTTGTTGACCAACTGAATCGGTTCAAGATACAAAAAGTGGGAACAATGTGAACCTTATCTTTCGGAACGGTACGAAACGGGTTCGATTAGAAGGCACTAATACAAAAGACCCATAAATTTTGAAACTATTGTCGTGTATGTAAGCAGGAATAAGCGCGAGTCTTTGACAGCTCAACATTATTTGTTTGTAAGCAAAGGTGCATCCTATATCTAAACCCTAAATTATTTCGGTGCACGGCAGTGTAGCACCGGTGTAGCAACACCGCAAAAACGAAAACAACCTATCCGAAGTGATTTGAAATTTGGGTGTAATTACATTTGTAAACAAACACGTCTATCGCCACGTTTGTCGCGACTAAAACTCAATATCGTAAACTAATAACACTACCAGGTAGAGGATAGATTGCTCTGTCATTTGGTATAGTATGTTTACGAGATTGGGATTTTATTCGTGAGAAATCGGTGATTGACGCGTTTGTTTACAAAAGCAATTACGCCCAAATTTCAAATCACTCCGGATTTGCCAGTGATTCGCGTCTGTTATCATCTGTTGAATGACAGAAAGCGACTGATACGATAATAAACAGTTGGACATGGGGTGCCTACCGGCTTCGACTGTTGCATTTCTACGCGGCATGGACTAATCATTTTTTATAAAATCGTAGGCAAACAGACGTTCCTAGCTAGCGTGAGTGCTTTTGATTGTACTTAAAGGATCGCTTGCTGGATAACGTCTGGCTGATATTCCTGAATGCTTACCTTTTCACAAAAAAACTGATAAAACCCTCTAAAGCTAACAGAATAGATCAAGACTTGATAGTCTCAAATGAAGAAAAAAAGTTGAGGGTTGTTGACGTAGAACTACGAGATTATTTTGCTATTCCATTCAATAATATATAAATGAGAAAATAAATGGTTAAGAAATTTAATTGAAAATTAGAAACCCTTGATAAACATTACGGATTGTCCTTGGAGCTTTAATTAGAATTCACTTGAAATTATCTTTCCAATACCTTCAGAATCCAACACTCTTGGAGTTTCTTTGAAATTCTCATAAGAACTCTATTTACATTCTTCTCGGAATTTATTTAGAAATTAACCTGTACTCCTCTTTACAATTGTCAAGTAATTTCACACATAACCACCTAATAATTTTACTTTGAACTTAAACAATTGACATGGCGTTGTAGTCAAAACTCCATCTAAATACTTCCAAAAACTCCTTTGGAATTATTATCTACATACCTTATTTTCTCTAGAATTCATTCTAAAATTTCCTCGAAATTCCTTCGGAATTTTCATCAAAATTATCGAATAAGTTCTTCAAAGTGATTACTTACTTACTTAACGGTCCTGAAGGGATGCAAAGGGCCTTTGTGAAAGATTTCCATCCTGGGCGATTACTAGCTTTGGCCTTGACCTGTGCCCAAGTCAAATTTCGGTCAACGTTCTTAATTTCACTGTTTAGGCTCCGCCGCCGCGAGCCTCTGGGTCTGCCTCTGCTGCGCTGTCCTACTGGATTTTAGTCCAGTGCTTGCTTGCAGATTTCGTTTCCGCTCCGTCGTGGTGTGTGGCTACCTCCACTTCCGTTCACGAATTTCTGTCTCTATCGACTTCTGATGGCACAAACGATGAAGCTCGGAATTTGAGATCCAATTGTGCGGCCACCAGGCACGAATTATGTACCGCAGGCATCGGTTGATAAACAGCTGCAGCTTCTGATTGTTCTCCGCTGATACAAACCATGTTTCACTGGCGTATAACAGCATAGACTTCACGTTCGAGTTTAAAAATTCGGATTTTGGTGCGTCGACTGATCTGATTTGCTCTCCGTACATTTCGCAAACTGGCAAAAGCAGCCCTCGCCATCTTAATCCGTGCACCTACGTCACTCTTGGTGCCGCCGTCCGACGCTATCTGGCTGCCAAGATATCGGAAGCTTTCGATTTTCTCCACTGCCTGCGCAGCTACCGTGAAATTGGAACGGTTTTCCGTGTTGACATCCAACGATTTGGTCTTGTTGACCTGCTTCAGAAGAGCGTTCCACAAGGTCGCCGAGCTTACTCTGCATGTCAGAGCGCCGTTGTGCTAATAACGCAACATCATCAGCCAAATCGAAGTCGTTGAGATGCTCCATAGTAATAGGCTGCCACAGCAACCCACGGTTCGGTACACGGTCAACGGCTCCGACCATGATCTCGTCGATTACGATGAGGAACAGTAGCGGTGATAATATACATCCTTGCCTCACACCCGCGATTACCCGAATCGGGTCAGACAAAGCTCCGTTGTGCAACACTCTGCATGAGAAAGCTTCGTACTGCGCTCCGATGAGGTTGACGATCTTATCAGGGACTCCCTTGCGTCTCAGAGTGCCCCACAAGTTTTCGTGGTTTAGTCGGTCGAAAGCTTTTTCGTAGTCAATGAATACCAAGTGCAGAGACTCTTGGAACTCATTGACCTGCTCAAAGATGATGCGGAGCGTGACAATATGGTCCACACAGGATCTTCCAGCACGGAATTCTGCCTGCTGTCGTCGGTGAGTCGCGTCGATCTTCTCCTGTATCCAATTGAGGATATCTTTACACAGAACTTTGAGAACAATACACAGTAAAATGATGCCTCGCCAGTTGACGCATACACTTTTACCAAGGCGCCCTGCATCCAGTCGTCCGGAAAAGTCGCGGTGTCTCCCAGATATTGACGAATAGTTGATGCAACATTTGTGAGGATAGCATGGGGTCAGCTTTGAGCATCTCTGCTGATATGCGATCGACCCCCGGGGCTTTGTTGGACTTCATACTTCGGATGGCTGCTTCTATCTCCTGCAATGATGGAGCTTCAGTGTTGACGCGGGTATCGCGCCTCACCCTCGGCCGATCATGCCGAGATGTTGATGGTTGGTTGACCGTTGAAACTTCGAGAAGTTGCTCAAAGTGCTCAAACCAACGTTTCAACTGGTCAGTGGGGTCGGTGAGCAACTGTCCAGTCGCGTCTTTCACATGCATCCTTGGGTTCATCCTTGTCCCGCTCAGGCGTCGTGAAACATCATACAGGAGGCGAATATCGCCAGTTGCTGCGGCTTCAAAGGGATTGTATCCGGAAAATCTAGAAGTTGAGAAGATTCTTATTTTCCAAAGAGAGGATGAATTATATTTTTTCCACTTCATCATCGAAATTCACGGACCGATTTCCCGACTCACTGGTCACCCTGTGTCCAGTATACAATTCACGGTAACCGCAAAATACCCAATAATGACTACAAAGTAAGCATTTTCGAGGGAAACTGGGACTACCCATTAAATGAGTAAAATGTTACCCATTTATGAGGAATTACAACTACAAAAACAAGTAGTAAGTATTCATTTTTGAATAACAAATACTCATAAATGGGTAAATTTTTACTCATTTAATGGGTAGTCCCAGTCTCCCTCGAAAATGCTTACTTTGTAGTCATTATTGGATATTTTGCGGTTACCGTGTAGGTCTTATCCATCTGAATAACATTCCCGATAAAACATCCCACCGATTTTTCCCTCAACTTCGTCGGGTTTCGTCGGCATGATCGACTTATTTCCGACGAATCGGTCGATTGTTGCACCGACGCTTATGGGAGCTTAACACAGGGGTTGACTGATTTTCCAGTATACTAAATTGGCTCAACAAGTCGATAGATTGAAAGCGATTTGGTAGAGTGAATAATCGATGGATAAAATTTATGGTAGTAAAAATCGACAAAAACCTATCAAATCGGATGATAAAGGACTACTAAATCGACTGATTAGTAGGCAAATAAAGCTTAAAAATAAACTGAAACAGACAACATCGGCTGATTTGTTGCTACTAAATAATCTGATTGGTAGACATAAAGAATCAGAGAATAAGTAAATCTCAAAGAAATCGTCCGACGCAGAGCTATTAAATAGCTTTATTAATCGACATACAAAAACGAACAACGGATGAAAGTCGACGAAATCGGTTGATTTTTAACCACTAAATCTATCGATTAATCAGTATAGAAAGAAATCAAAATACCTATGGAATCCGACGAAATCAGTTGATCGAGAGCTATTAAATAGGTTTGTTTGTATTTTCCTTACAGATAGTATAATCGCAGTTTATACTTACAGCATATTATTAATACCTTAATTCTTAATCTTAATTCTTGAAAATAATGTAAACACGTTGCTCAAGGTTCGAGAGAACCAAACTCCAATCCTCGATGAAGCGATACGCGAATTAAAAAACGAAAGAATTTCCAAGAACTCCCGGAAGGATCAGATTCTGCAAATCCTAATACTTTTGCAAGAATTCCGTCTACCAGTATACAATCATCCTTGCCATTAGCACTAATCATTAAAGAATTATCAAAATAGCAAGTACGATATGCGAAAGAGCATCCAAATAAAGTCTTCTTCATCTGAAACTGTTCTGCGAAATGTCTCTCCTTTCTTGTTCTCTCGCCAATATTGCATTGTTCAGCCATTCGTTTATGAAGCTGATGTTTCTTGGTTAAATTACGCTTGAAGTTTTCGTATTTAAATGCGCTTATGGACGGTAAATTCCCATACAGCTTTACATAATCAGGCAAGTGCAGAAGCATGTGCACATTGTGGGTAAGACTAGTTTGGCCGTAAAACACATGGAAACGAAACACAAAATCACGAAGAAACTCTCGAGCTAAATCCACATCCGCCGGTAAAGGGTTTCTGGCCGACAAAAGACGAAGTGTGGAAAAATATAGAAGAAAGTGCTCATGCTGATCGTTTTGGAAGAACTTTTTTGTAATCAAGATGCCTGCGTAGCTGTCAAAAAGTCGAAATTCCGTTGCTTTGAAATTTGCCAATTCAGTAAATGGTCTTGGTTTTCGAGCAAATTCTCTTGGAACACTTCTAGCCA